TAGCAACTATGCAAAAGGAAAAGAAGCAAATTGTACACAGTAGCTTATTTAAAAAAAAGCATTTCTATGAGCAAGACGATGGCAACTTTGATGCCTTCAGACAGAATCCCTCGAATTTGGTGAGACCTGGCCATATTATTTTACTCTGATTATTTCATAATTAATTATATATTATAGGGGAAATGGCTTTAATGTTGGCCTATGGATCTAAGATTGGGCCCATTGCTAAAAATCTGCTATTTATCAATTTTATCTAGATGAACGCGTCATTGGGAAAGTACTGATGAATGTATTTTTTTAGCCGGCGCCGGTGGTGTAGTGGTAAGCGTGACTGCTTTCTCATCCCAGTGGGTCTGGGTTCAATCCCAGCCGAGGTCGGTGGCATTTTTCTGAGGCATACAAATCTCTGGTCTCTGGTCCTTCGGAAGGGAAGTAAAGCCGTTAGTCCCGGCCCATGTGTGTTTGAATGGGTGCGATATCCTACGCAAGTGTGGAAGCTGCCTTCCTGTACATTCGATTGCCGTCAATGGATGGCAATCGATGTCCGTCGGTGATTGGAACTAGATTGTGGAACAAAGACCGACGTTAAATAAAGAAAAGAAGAAGAAGTTCGATCAAAGTAGTCGATCGCGTTCAGAAATAACGTCAAATTTAACTCGAAAGAAGATAAAATATTGAACACAAACACCTGTAAAATCCAGAGTGGTCCGATTCCAAGCTGGTTTAAGTGTTGAAGATGCCGAAAACAACAGTTTTTCAAGTGCTCAAAAGCTACAAGGCAACCCTGAGTGTTGAAAGGAACCAGCGGACCTACGAAAAACCTGGAATCAAGGATCGTCAGCTGCACAGCAAGATGTTGAGGTGCGTTAAAGCCAACCCCGGTCTTTCGATTCGAGATGTGGCCAGCAGGTACAACGTCATCTTTCAAACGGTGCGGAATATCCTTGGCAGGGAAGGATACAAGTCGTACAAAGCCAGTAAACATCCAAACTGGCACATGAAGCAGAATTCCGTGTCCAAAAAGCGTGCAAGGCTCTTGTACGAACGTGTTTTGACAAAACACAAGGGCTGCACTTTGATCAATGACGAAACATACGTCAAACTCGATTTTAAGCAGCTTCCCGGTCAAAAGTTTTAAATCGCAACTGGACGTGGGGATGTGCCGGGAAGATTCAAGTTTGTGTTTGCCGACAAGTTCACGAAGAAGGCCATGATTTGGCAAGCGATTTGCAGTTGTGGCCTGAAAACGGAACCATTAATCACAACCTCGACGATGACATCCCAAGTTTACATCGAAGAATGCCTGAAAAAGCGTGTATTGCCGTTCATCCGCAAGTATAGGGGCAAAGTTATCTTTTCCCCGATTTGGCCAGCTGCCACTACTCCAAGGTGGTTCTGAACTGATCTGCTGCCAACAAGATCGATGTTGTCCCCAAGCTAATCCCAAATAACAATTAAGCAGCCTTTTGGCTTTCACACTGATTTATTGTGGTTTTATGACGGCAACCGCAATCTTTTTGGTTTGAATACAGCATTCAATAGTGCAACATATTTTTGTTTAGTAGTTCAGAATTTTTCTGTTTTGAAAACCTTTTAAAGTCTGACGATAAAGTCAAAACGGGTTTGGTTTTAAAAATTAATTTAATGCAGCATTCTATCCCTCAATAAACTGTGAAGTTAGTCAATCAGAAACCTGCTCGGTATTTTTTTATTGATGTCTTGACAAAATATTCCATAAAGGTGGTTTATCATTATTAAAGCAATTATAAAACCGTTCGATTTAAAACGGGAACAAAAAGCATACATTAATGCTTTTTGGTGTCAATAAAGTGTATCACAAAACCCCCCACTGTTTACAAATTAAACTAAAAATATGGATCCGCCTAGAGACAGAGAAAAAATAAATCGAGTGGGGCTTTTAAATGCTGAATCACAAGTAAATGCCGATGGATAGTCGAGTAAAAATACTAGCGATAGTAGACAGAATAATTCTAGCGATACTGTCGACTCAAGGGAAAAATAATCCAATTGCAGAACTTCCTGGGATGTCCAGCAGCTCCGTCAAAACCGGTTAAAAACAACAGAGCAGCCGACTGAGAAGAGTGAAGTGAATGCGGTTCACGAAGCACTGGTTGCCGGCTTCCAGTGACACTTAATATTGATGGGAATACACAAAATATTATCAATGGCGTTTGCATCGCGTTCTGAATAAAAACAGACCAGTCTTCTCCAGAAATAGCGTTGCCGCAGTGTAAAACAGAGACTACGGAAAACTGCCGACGGAAACATCAGAAGCTATCAGTCAGCTGGAAATTGGCCGCCTTCCGAACCATACCAGCAGTTTCATTCTGCGAAATAGTTGACCCTTCGAAAAAAAACCCAAGCAAATACACATAAAATTGCTCGCAATAGCCGGAGAAGGGAAACTTTTCGGGAACGATTGAGGTTTCACCTGTTCCAAGTTACGTCGCTAAACTTCCTTATAAACTGCTTCTGATGGATGATATTTGCCCTTATCGAGGATCCACAATGCTGGAGTAGAACCTAGTTGCAATGATCGCCCAACAAAACTATCGAAAAACAATTTTTTTAAGTTTTTCCAGGCAACTTTGCCACCATTAATGCCGTCATAAAACTAAACGGAATAAGATCAAGCAAAATGGCTTCAGATAAAAACAATTCAGTCCGCAAATTAACGTCATAAAAGCAGCATTAAAATATTTTGCATTTGTTAGGGATTTCATGAACGAAAAACAGCTTTTTCACAAATGGATTACGGAAAATTAATGTTTATGCAATCGCCATGTTGTTATTATTCCATTTGATTTTTACAATTTTCGTTTTTCAAGATGGTTTCTTAAAAATAACTTTATTCTCATCAATTCATCAATGAGCAGTAATAGAGATTACGAAAATCATCAAATTATCTTGACTGGGTCATAACTATATTATGTTTCCTTAATTAAAAACAATAAGTAAAATCAACGTTTTCCGAAAGCGGACTTATATTTTTCGATCTTCCAAAGCTTATTTCACATTAGATTTAATTGGTCACCTAAAAATAGACCACAATATGAGTTTCGATAATTTTGGTAATTATTTCAATTTAATGATGATGGAATTTATGAGGATTTTTGACAGATTTATTTTTAACAATGAATTTGGCAAGACCGGATGATATATATGTATCCCTTTTTATCTTGATTGATGCTTTATTTTAAGTGCGCTTATCAAGCGTCAAAGACAAACGGCACGAGTATTGATCCCAAATGGCTTTTATTGTTTTAATAAAGATTTCAAATGGTTCTCAATGCTTTCATCGTATAACCTTTTTGCAGCAAATCAATCTTGAAGTGCCTCGAAAATATGCCCTTCAAAACCATTTCCAGGGTGGGCCAACTAGACAAATTCTAGTCTTAATGAGGTTTTGGGGGATGTAATAAAGGTAAAGCTGTCTTGACCAGGGTTTGCCCGGATTTTCGACCAATCGAAAAACACTAAGCAATTTCAAAGTCAAGGACATCCAGCAAATGCGGGCAAAATGGAACACGCTGATATCGTGTCCGTTTCCACTGTGCGGGCGCTGTTGGGCTCCATCAAGAGGAAGGTTCGAGATTTCGTTCTAACTGGAGAAATGCAACCATCTAATGCTGTAAGTTTGAAGTTTTATAAGTCAGTCTTTAAATAGCTATCCGCAGCTGCACTGCCCATAAAACCACATCAGTCCCATATGGAAAAAGTAGGCATTGAGAAAATGACAGTCGAAGTTACGCAGTGCGATTCCCATGTCAATATTTGAAAAATCATAGTAAACTTATTAATATTTTTTCTAGTTAAAATCAGGTGCATTGATATATGCATGTTATAACTTCGAAAATTAAATTGATATGATATGAAAAATGATATATGCATGTTATAACTTCGAAAATTAAATTAAAATATAACTCGAAAATCAGAACTGTAACTTAACCTCTGAACGATTGAATTTAAGGATGGGTCTGACATGCGATTACTTTGCTTGAAGGGACAAACTGACTTGATGTTGTTTTCACATTTTTCATCATCAAAGCCCATAGTTTTATCGCATAACATGAAAGTAGATGCTAATTGATAGTGGATAGCGTTGTTATTTCAAAACTGACGCAAATCCATACGGGACTGAAATGCGACTATAGGCAGTGCAGGTGTAATGCGATTTGAAATGCATATTGGAGAATTAAAAATAGTATTCTTATGTAAGAGCTGCCAAGAATGGAAGCTGTTTAACATGTGATTCAAATTTGGATACCAATGAACATCGTAGCGGCTGTTTGTAGGGATGAACCCCTGTTCGTAATTGAGCATGATAGTGATAAATCGGGCAACCGTTTACTTGCTCTTTTTCACCGTTTGAGGGTCGTTTTTTTAAATCACTGTTTCATTTGCAAAACTTAAGTTAAATACTGAAAGCAACAATTATTTGGATAATTGCTACAATCAGGGATTTAAGTACGAAAAAAAACCATGGCTTGTAGCAAAAAACGAAGTTATACGAAACCGACGGTAAAAGCTTCCTGATAACCCGTGACATTACAAATATCAAGCCATATGTGTGAAAAACAAAACAATCTGATCAGTAATCTTCACAATTGAAACATCTTCAATCCGAACTACAATTCAAAAACTAATATGGAGAATTCATGCCAGTGCAAATTAAGTTACATGCTTGCAAATATTCAAATCCTAAGATTAATTCCTTTCATTAAGACACTGCGTACTGAAATCAAATACAATCACGTATACAACTATCAAAACTATTAAAAGATATTTTTGTCCATTCATGATGCATTAACCACACATCCATCAGTGACTGTCTTTTTTTTTTTTTTTTTGTTATGACAGAAGCGTCGACAACCATATATTAAATCAATTCCATTAAATCGATCCGAACAGACTACGGTTTTGGTCTGCATTAGAACAATGAAAAAAAACAACTCCAATCAAGAAAATCACACACTCACCTTGTTTGCAGCACTGATTGGAATCTGCGATCCAATCCAGGAAGTAGCAGCTTACGCCAAGAGTCTTCTTAATCGCCAACAAAAAAAAACACCACCTCTGTGCAGTTTCCCAGCGGCGCCGGACACTCGCGCAAAAAAAAACAAGAGCAAAAACCGATTCTTTAACCTCTCGTCAATCCTGCTAATTAAAGCACGCAAATTTTCGGCAACCTCGCTGACAAGATCAGATTGAGTGAGTACAGTGAATTGTATGTACGAGCACGGAAGAGATCCAGATCTCGCCACACACGCACACTTGAACTTGGAGTCGAGTATCACTTTCTTCGGGGCACCTTTCCTGCTTGAGCACTAGGCAGCTAGGCTCATTAGTTTAACAACACGAAGCACCAGTAAATAAATCCAAGCACGTGCCCAAAGTACAAGCGGATAATGTTGTCGGTAATCACTTCGGCAGAAGTAAACAGAGCTTGTTTCAACACACCTCGCCACTGCCTGCCGATGGAACTGGGGTACGCACTGCGCGAGGACGACGACGACGACGACAACAACACGAGGTACAAGATAATGAAATGTAACACCATGTAATGAAGATGCCAGTACAAGCAAATAAAGAACAATTTATTCACTCTGCAGCACACCTCTTGGAGTTATGTTGCACTTGTGCGCTTTCCTCTTCTGTCGTTGGAAGTTTTCTCTGCAGTATGTGAGGCACGTGGCATTCAATGCCTGAGGTCCACCGGTTCAGTTGGTCAATTGCGCAGGTGACACTAATCCGTAGATAATTAATCGTTAATCACATCGGGAATTGGAATGGGTGCACACACTTCAACACAGCGCAAATCCCTGCAGCCACTTCATTAGCATAAATCTCAGTACAAGCGGAACGAGCGATTAACAGTGTAAATTCTCATAAATCCATCAGAATCCGATCGACACGATCTTCTCGAGGCAAGGTCACCCCTTTCAGCAAGAGCACTTGTCACACACGATAAAAAAAAGGGTAAACCTCAACGCTTAAGCCCGGAGGCCACTTGTCGAATCGAGAGACTTGCGTGCCTGCAAGCGACGAACGTCGTCCCAAACTGCTGCTCAATCGCTTCTCGACCGATCCGCCAAAATGTGTCAGCGCAAAAACATCGATCTAACTCTCGCTCTGCGCAGAAGCACACCAAAATAAACACACCAGAACGAATCCGTGAAGCCCGAGAGATGTGTAACGGAGAAGAGTCAAATCACGACTGGAGGAATCATACAAGTAAAATCAAGGTAAAACCCATAACATTATTTGCTTCGTTTTTGCCCTCCGTCGTCAGCAGATGCGATGTTGCTCAGCCAGCGTCTGATCGAGTTGCGGCGGCAGACCCCTCTTGAATCGATGACGATGATGATGATGATGATGATTGTGATGATCCGATGCTCAGTTCTCTCGCTCTCCGTGGTGGAACTGCGAGGAGTTTTGCAAGTCTCTCCCGCGAGGTATCCTACCCAGGTGGTTGCTATCTCAAAAGTATGCGCCGAGTACACAATTTGTTGTCACTGCTGCCTACCTCACCGCTTGCCTCTCTCCTACAGCTGGAGGATGAAGATGCGCTCCCAACGGCAGCAACTCACATGTTGATATGCTACTTGGCTGTGCCGCGCGGCCCGCCTTCCTCTGGCACGGGTGATGATGCTCGCAGGCTGGAGGTGGGTAGATTTCTCCGCGAGTAGCGCGCGCTCTGCTCAGCAGAGGAGCAAAGATGCATGGGCACGATTTATGCTGTGTCCGATCGACGGCGTTCCGTGCATCGGGTGGTTGCCGTTTTGCTGGTGTTGGGTTTTGTTTTCCTTGCTCTCTATCTCGCCCCGCATAGGTACTGTTGAACAAGCGATGCTGCTGTCGCTGACGGTCGAATGCCATTGCGAAGATGCGTACCAGGGTTGTACAATGAGGGCAGTTGCTGTGAGTATTTGAGCTGTAAACGAGGATTTGTTATTTTATTTTATTCAGTGGTTGAGCTCAATTTGACAAACCAGTAATTGTAACATTCATTGCGACCTCTTTGTCTATATTTTAAATTTGATTACCCAAAAAACAATTCAAAGTCACAAATAAGCCTGAGTGTGCCTCAAGTGCCTGAAAATTGCACCTTAAAGGTGCATAAAGGGACAAACTTCAATGAAATTTTTTGGTCAAGAAATTGCACCACATTGGTGAATACAAAAAATTTCTGGTGTATTTTTTTTAAGGTTGATCATGGAGGGTTAAAAGAAAAGGGTAAATTTTACGGTTAAAACAATTCACCTTCGTGGTGGTAAATCGAAGAAAAAGCTTTTTATTGAATATTTCTGGTGTAACAATATCATGAAGGGACTAATCAAAATGAATAACTTTGGTTCTAAAATTGAATTGCGCTAAAAATTTGGAGGTGCACATTTAACCGAAAATGTCTGGTGGAAAGTTCGCTACACTGTGGTGAATGTAGAAGCAAGGTTTATTAATTTTGCTGGTGCATAATTTGCATCGTTCTGATGAATGCAAGCTTCATTGGAAATTTATGGTGGAAAATTTGTACCATTCTGCGTGAAGAGGTTAAGCCTGAAAATTGCACCACAAAGGTGCATGGTAAAACAAACTTCACTGACAATTTTTGGTGCACCGTTCTGGTGAATGGAGGAGCATGTTCTATTGTAAATTTCTGGTGCAAAATTTGCAGCGCTTCGATAAATGAAATGAATAGAAAATTTCTGGTGGAAAACCTGCACTAGTCTGGTAAATGAAGGCACAAGCTTTATTTGAAATTAAACTAAATTCAAAACTTTTGGTGGAAAATCTGCACCGTTCTGGTGAACGGATGGGCAAGCTTATCGGAAAATTTTTGGTCTTACATTTTCTGAATAGAGAAACAAATTTTAATAGTAATTTCTGGTGTAAAATTTGCACCATTCTGATGAGGCTGGAGGCTGCTTTACTCAAAATTTATGATGAAAAATATGGAAATAGGGGCCAGGTTTATTTGAAAATGTCTGGTGGAAAATGAAAAAAGGAAATCGGCACCAATCAGAAGATTGGAGAAGCAATTTTAATTGAACATTAACGATTGAAAATTTGCATCGTTCTGGTCAATTCAAATTTTCTGGTGTTAATTTATCTGGGAACGGCGCCGGTGGTGTAGTGGTAAGCGAGATTACCTCTCACCCCAGCAGGCCTGGGTTCAATCTCAGTCGGCGCCGCCGGGATGTTTTGAGGCATAACATCTCTGATCACGCCTTCCTGCGGAAGGGAAGTAAAGCCGTTGGTCCCCGGTTCATGAGTTGATGGGTCGATAGGTAGGGTCCAGGTGTAGGAGCTGCCTTCCTGGCGCGTCGGTAGCATTGGTGGTCAGCACGGAAAACAAGATCGACGGAAAACAAACCAAAGGAAAAAAAATAATTCTGGGGCAAGTTTGTATTGAAAATTTCTGGTGTATGATTTGCAACATTCTGTTGCATGGAGGGGCAAGCTGAATTGAAAATTCCTGATCTAAAAATTGCACAGTTCTGGGGAATAGAAGGGCTAGCTTTATTGAACATTTCTGATAGAAAAACTACAACGTTTTGGTGAATGGACGGACAAATTAAACTTGATTTCCGAGAAGAACCTAAACGGTATTGAATTCTGAGGACAGTTCCAAAAGAAAAAATTTCTGGTGATGATTTCATGAAAATTTTGCGAATAATTTCTAGTGAATCCTGCAGATAGTTCCAAGATAATTTCGAAAAGAATACCGAGAAAATCAAATATTGCATGAAATTCCAAAGGGATTTTGAGGAAAATGTCAAGAGAATTCCTAGGATAATTTCAAGCTAATTCTGGGAAGAATGTATGGAGAATACAGAGGAAATTCTTCTGCAACTTCAAGGGAGTTTCAGTTCCAAGGTGTTCTGAGAAAAAAAAGTTCCTAAATATTCCGAGAAGAACCTCAAGGATATTGAATTCTTAGGACAGTTCCAAAATATATCTGGGGAGAATTCAAAGAAAATTCAGCGGAAAATTTCTAGTGCATCCTGCAGATAGTTCCAAGATAATTTCGAATAGAATACAGAGAAAATCAAATTTTGAGTGAAATTCCAAAGGGATTTTAAGTAAAATTTCATGCGGATTCCGAGAATAATTTCTAGCTTATTCCGGGAAATATTTCTGAAACACTCTAAAGGAATTTCAGTTCCAAGGTGTTCTGAGAAAAAAAATATGAAGAGTTCTAAATATAGTTCCAGGGGACTTCTGAGAAGAATTTCAATATAGCTCTTAGGAGAGTTCTAAAAAAATCCGAGAAGAACCTCAAGGATATTGAATTCTGAGGACAGTTTCCAAGAAAATTCTGCGAATAATTTTTGGTGAATCCTACAGATAGTTCCAAGATAATTCCGAAAAGAATACCGAGAAAATTAAATTTTTAGTGAATTCCAAAGGGATTTTGAGGAAAATTTCAAGGGAGTACCGATAGTTTCTAGCTCATTCCGCGAATAATTTCTGGATAATACTGAGGAAATTGTTCTGAAACTCTAAGGGAATTTCAGTTCCAAGATGTTCTGAGTAAAAGTAAAGAAGAGTTCTCAAAATATTATTATTATTTATCTTTATTAGGGCTGGTTCGCCTCCAGGCAGTTCTCAAAATAATTCCTGAGGACTTCTGAGAAAATTTACAAAAGAACTCATAGATTTCTAAAAATTTCGAAAAGAACCTCAAGAAACTCTGAGGATGGACTTTTTTGCAACTGTACAAAGTTTAAAGACTGCTTTTGGATTCCCTAATTGAAAAGTGGGTATTAATTTGCCATTGAACCTTGGTCTATTGTTGTCGTACTAAAAATTCATCTAAGAATCTTCTCTGAAAATTTCAAGTAATTTGTTACCGCAATAAATTCGGGTTTGTTCATTATATCACCTTTAAAACATGTTGAATGTTTGGCATCATTTTCTGTCACCCAGACTGGCGGTACTTTGGGACAGGGTTGACATGCTCAGTATTTCGCACAAGTTGTCATTCCGTTAACAATCCTGTACCCGCTGGTCAAAATAGTTTTGTGCGCATTTGTTTGAATCGTTACATATTTTTAAACTTTTTTAATGATCTTGGCAATTA